TACCTTAAGGTTCCAGACAGGTTCAAATAACGTTAGGGAAATGTTCCCCAAAACATTGTGGGTTACCTCAAGGTTCCTGAGAGGTTTAAACTATTTAAAAGTCATGGGAATGTTAGGGGAGCGTTCCCTGAACCTTAATGCGCAATGAAATGTGAATGTTATAATTCTTTTTTTCATAAAGAAAAGTTTCCTGGAAAGCCGGAACGTTCTGGGAACGTTATCTGGGAACGTTATCTGGGAAATGTTATCTGGGTAGATGTAGAAGTTGATTTTACTGTAAAAATAGTAAACAGTGGTTTGAACACGAGCACCCTCTGCTGATTATGGCTTGTTTTTTTTTCATTCCTTCATGACTTAAAAATGCATATCATCCAATCACACTTCACACGAGTCTAGTCATGCAGACTCTCGGGCCTCCGAGGGCTTATCTCACAATCTTTACTGGAGCTAAAGTATCGAAGCAGTCCATAAGATGGCGACATGAGTTTATGAAAAGGGAAATGGCTAGAGGAAGTCAAATTAAAAACGGTACTAAAACGCTGATTGAGGAACAGCATTTAGGGTTCGACTACAACAACCCTCTGCTGGTTATATTCCAGATATGCAGAACGTTCAAAGTATACTATATGGCCAAAAGTATGTGCACCCCTGACCATCACATCTATATGTGGTTCTTCCCCAAACTGTTGCCACAAAGTTTGAAGCTCACATTTGTATAGAATGTCTTTGTATGCTGTAGTGTTACCATTTCAAGATTTCCCTTTAGTGGATCTAAGAGGACTAAACCTGTTCCAGCATGACAATGCCCCGGTGCACAAAGCGAGCTCCATGAAGACACGGTTTCCCAAGTTTGGAGTGGAAGAACTCGAGTGATCTGCACAGAGCCCTGACCTCTTGAACACCGACTGAACCCCAAGCGTCCTCGTCTGACATCAGCACCTGACCTCATTCATGCTCTTGTGGCTGAATGAGCAAATCCCCACAGCCACAAGATTATTATAACAGCAAAGGGAAATTCTAACAGCATATGGGTGTGATGGTCACGTGTCCACAAACTTCTGGCCATAGAGTGTAGGTGTTTCTTTAGATTTTAGCATTTCCTTCTGATTAAACTCTTTCCAAGACAACATTATCTAAGACATACGTTTTCAGTCCGTGTATATTTAGTGTGTGTTTGTCTGTGTTCCACAAAACACCAGACCACAAGTGCACCCTGACTGTAGTCATACCATTATAAATTAATTATGTGTTGAGAACACAGCTGATGTACTGGAACTGAAACTTCTGCAAGCTAGCACAGGTTCCTCTTTTTTTTAGCTCAGCAAGTGAAACCATCATGACCACACGACAAACATGAAGTATTTTTTTCCACAGTGATTTGACATTACGTACTCAGTGGCTCTACAGTGCTTTGCTACAGCAATGAATAATACTATGCAATTCATCCAATAATCAGGTAAAAAAAAAGATTTTTATTTGTCATATGTTATTTGTTTAAGGCATTAAAGTGTTGTGTATCTTTATCTTGTTTTATTGTCTTTAAACTTTTACAATACTGGTTACATTACTAAAGAACAGATGGGAATCTTTAATTAATTGATAATTGATGCAATTTGTTGTCAAACAACTTGTCATAGTCCTATATATAGTCCCATTTTATTCCTCTTATACCACTACGATTTGCTAACGATTACAGATTTTAATAGATTGATGAATGGCATGTTGTGCTTTTTAACTGTTTATAGTTACATTTAATTTTATGGAAAGTTAATTGGAAAAAAAACAAAAACAAACCACAGCTTATTGCATTACCGAGAAACCAGAAAGCACAAACTTACTAGCTGTTACAGAGCACTGACACTGGAGACTCCTTCTATAAATGTTATAGAAAAAAAAGTCTCCTTACAGAAAACCTCACCATATCAATGATTACGTACTATACGGGCAAAGGTTTGTGAACACGTCACCATCACAGCCACATGTCCTTTTTGAGCAACTCATTCCAGATTTAGTCTCCCTTTGCAGTTTGTTGTCTCTAAATATACATCATTTTGGACCATATTAAGTTTTACATATGGAGTCCCTGGAGGTGCTGTCAACGCCATGGCCCCGGTTTGATTCCCGGCCAGGGATCCAACACCAGCCACTGGGGTTGCATGCAGCAGTGCACTCCCAGTGCTGGTCCCAAGCCTGGATAAAACTGGGGAGGTCACATCTTTTAAACGTCTCCAGGGTCTCGGGTTCAATCCTGAGCTCGGGTGACTGTTTGTGTAGAGTTTCTGTATATGTTGTACACTGGGCTATACCAAATCACCCCTAGGTATGAATGAGTGTGTGAATGTGTGGACTGGCATCCTGTCCAGAATGACTTCCTTCCTCATTCCTGGTGTTCCTGGAACCAGGATAAAGGGAATACTGAACATGCGTGAATGAATAACTTTGGAATTTTTTTTTTTTTTTTTTTTAAAAGATTGAGTGTGTATTTTTAAATTTAAAACAAAAACAAAAAACAAAGTGAAGTTAGAAATATTGAAGATTTAAGGTAAGAGCGCCCACTATTGAACTTTAAATATATAGCATAGTGTGTGTGTGTGAGTGAGAGAGAGTGAGAGAGAGAGAGAGAGAGGAAGAGAGAGACTTGTCTTCCCTACAGTCAGGGACACACTGCAACACACTGTTCTTACTGCAACGTCTAGCAACTTTCTTATCAAGCACTCAATCTTTTTGAGAATCAGGAAATTCCGGTTTGGGGTGCATTTATTTATTAGAACTAACCACTCTGTCTCTTCCTGACACTTCGCGACATGGTAAGATCATAGTTAAAGTGTTTACATGGCTGTGTTTTGGTTTGGGTTTTTTTTTTGTGTGTGTTTCAGGTTTCTCTCAGTTTCTCTTATATAAAATGTCTCTTATATTTTAGTTCTCTTTTTTGCTCTCAGTGGGTTAACCAAGATTTAAATAAGATGAAACTGATCTCTTTTAAAATATATATATATATATATATATATATATATATATATATATATATATATATATATATTGTTTGTTGCTTGTAATTATTGAAGTATATTGGGACATCAGGTACACTACATGGCCAGAAGTTTGTGGACACCTGACCATCACACCCATGCGTAGTTGTTGAACATCTCATTCCAGATTTATTCCCCCTGTGTTTGCTGTTATAATAAGCTCCACTCTTCTGCGAAGTCTTTCCACTTGATTTTGTGTTCATTCAGCTACAAGAGCATTAGTGAGGTCAGGCGCTGATGTTGGGATGGTCGAGGAGGTCTGGGGTGCAGTCGGTGTTCCAGTTCATCCCAAAGGTGTTCAGTGGGGTTGAGGTCACGGCTCTGTGCAGGACACTCGAGTTCTTCCACTCCAACCTTCACACACCATGTCTTTGTGTACAGGGGCATTGTCATGCTGGAACAGGTTTGAGCCTCTTAGTTCCAGTGAAGGGAAATCGTAATTCTACAGCACACAGAGACATTCTAGACAACTGTGAGCTTTCAACTTTGTGCCAATACTTTGGAGAAGAACCACATATCAGTGCGATGGTCACGTGTCCAGAAACCTTTTGCCATATAGTGTATATTAGAACATTTAAGCTTAGTAGCGTGTATCTTCTGGCCTTGTAAGTGGAAATCAAAACTTGCTACAGAGACCATACAGTGGAACTGCTTGATAGAAGTGATATGACTCATTCATCTAACACCTTAAAAGCAGTTGTTGTCAGCAGCAAACAGGAAGCTGAACCCGAAAAGCTCGAGGTAGGACCAATGACACATGCTTTGGCTAGTTATAAGGTTATAAAATGCTCATGATCAGTATATTCCACATATTTATGATGCATATGAGCTACGGTTTAAAAAAAAAAGGGCAACATTAGTTCACAGCTTATAGTGTCATCATTTTCAAGATGTCCCAAAATGACCAAACATGATTTGGTCATTTTGGGAAAGCGTGTATGAGGTTAATTGAGAAACCCAGTGTTGGGGTATTTGGTTTATTAACGTACAGAAAGATTAGACAACATGATACCATTACTACGTACATGGTGTAATTAACACATACACTGTATTATTACCTAAAGTCTTTAATTAACATTTTTGTTTTAGTTGCAGTAATTTTATTCAGTAACTACTCCATAGCTTCAGTGTACTTAAACAGCAAAGGCATGTGGCAAAGAGAGGGAGGAATTCATGCAGTTCTGGACCATTGCAGGTGTTCACTTAGAGAAATGAGAGTTTATGCAACACTGGAGGTTTTGCATGTCACGGCTTGTCTTCCGTGGATTATGTCATACTCATTTTGTCAACCTTTGTTTCTTCAGATTTTATTCCTCACACATATTGCTAAACAGCATGTTGACTTGATTAAATCAAGGTTTTAATCTGACTGTAATGTAATCATATTAGAACTTGTTATCAAGGCTTCTAGTACATGAATTAAAGCGTTTCAGTATGTATTATTAAGTAACTGTGGCCTTTATTGCCTAACCATTACAACCACATTTACCCCAGCTTAGAGTAGCTGAACCACTGAAGATGAATAGATTTTATTCATGGAGGTTTATATTAACAGTTTAAAAACATTTGGAGGTTATATGAAAGTAATCAGCGCTGGGGTGGAGTAATGCGGGCAAATGTGAAGAAGAGCGTTTTATTCCTCTTATACCACAGACATTTGCCAATGATTACAATTTTTGTATGAAAGTATGAAATGCCACACATCTTGAAGACTTTCCAGTGTCAGTTTTTTTTAAAGTTACAGCTTTACCTCTTGCTGCTGCAACGCACTAACACTGGAGACTCCATCCAAAAATGCAAAATAAATGTCCTCTTACAGAAAACTACCTTTAGATAAGTGATTATCCTTGGAGCAGTGGGCAGCCTTTTTTGCTGCAGTGCCTGGGGAGCAGTTGGGGGTTTAGTGCCTTGCTCAAGGGTCTCACCTCAGTCATGGTATTAAGGGGGGAAAGACCCCCCACCTAAAATCCCTGCCGGACCTGAGACTCGAACCCACGACCTTCAGGTTACAAGGCCGAGACTCTAACCATTAGGCCACAACTGCCGAAGTTTTGTTGAATACCTCACAGAACTCTTGATACTCCGTGCAGGATTCCCAAGAGGACTTGGGTTTCTGGGCTTTCTACATTGATGGAGGGGATGTGGAGACACTTGGTATGGCAGTTTGCCGACCAGCGCATGATTTCACGCCCCTTCCAGGAGATCTGAGGGCTGTGGGAATGCATCCACAGGAAGCCCAACACCACCAGGAACTTGGTAGTAACGGTGAAAAGGAGAGAAATCCGCTCTTGCTGCATGGCACTGACATGGAGTGTGATGGGTTTGGTGCAATGGGTGACTGACCTCCCGCCTATGGGTCCTCCGTCCAGGGCTTGTGCTTTAACGGGTTGTTGTAGTGGCTGTAATGGCAGCTGGAGCTTCGCAGCGAGGGTGCCATCAGTGAAGTTCCCAGCCATACCAGAGTCGATCAGTGCTGTGACAGAAGACACGCTTCCTGAGTGCGTGATCTGAACTGGCAGTACAAAATTGGGGTGAGAAAGGAATCTGGCTGGACTCACCATGTTGGAATGAGATGTGGAGGGGGGCCGTGAGGAGTACTGTGCCACCTGGTGTTGAGGACTGCCACAGTAAAAGCATAATTTCATTTCATTTCAAGTTGCAAACAAGACCAATATGTAATGCAGAAGCAGTGTCAAAATCCAGGCAAGGGTCAGACATTCAACAAACAACATGAACTAGGGCAAGCAAGAGCAAAACAAGAAAACCAGAAATGAGATCAAAAACCAAAGAGCCAATCACTAAAGAAACATCTTGGTGTATTCAGAATGTAATTCAGAATACAAATTTTGTATAAATATACTTTCCAACATGGAATTGAAGCTCTTGACGGTTCTGTATCTCAGCCTAGGTGGAGAATTCTTTGCCGTTTTTCTGATATGTTGCTCATTTTGATGTCTAAGCTAACTGATATTGTACTGATATTATAACTAGCAAACCAATGTGAGTGAACGAAGTGATGGCCTAAACCAAGGCAGCTAACACTAGCTAAATTTTGTAACAATTTATTGACTGTATGACCTTAGCTAGCACTCCAAGTAGCTTGTTAAGGTTAACCAGTCACTCCTATTTAAGCAAAGTCCACTGACAGAATGATTGGGCATAAAAGATGTCAGCACTAGAAGAAAATTATGGACAACAAGGACAGTTTCAATTAGTACCTTGCAATAGCTACTTACGAAAAGTATACGACTACAGTTTAGCATTTTGGCGCCAACTCACATTTCGATCAAATAGGGCTTCAAAACCACACACTGGCAGTAAATGGCACCATGTTGTCCCCTCATATATAGAGTTATTGATTGAACTGCATGAGTCGACATGAGAAATGTTTCAAAATTTCCACAAACAAATTCAGGCGATTCCACAAATAAATGCGAGTGAGGTTGTGCGTTTTAAAAATAGTTGTGAATCAAAGACTTATTTGCGAATTACAAAGAATATTTGTGCGTCTCATTTCATTAAGTTGTGGATCTTGTTTTAATTTTTTGTGGAACTTCTGTTGTTCATTTGTTGCAAATATACCCCCATAGTGCTGTTATAGGAAAGTAATAAGCTTTCCTGTGGTAACATTATCACACCGCCCCGGTGTGAATTAATTTCCTGTAACGCATGATCTCGTGTTTTTTGTCTCTTACTTATGTTGTTTTGCAATGTCAGTTAGCAGTCTCTTGTGGAACTTAAGCATTTTGTTTCTAGTTATTGATTGTATATTGTTGCACTTCTGTCTCTTCTTATAGCGTTCTTTGTTTCCCTCCATTTCTTCAGAATGAGTCTTTTGGGCTCTTACATTGATTCTAATGGCTGTGTTTCTGCCAATTTCCTGATGCGAGTAAAAAATCAAACTGTGGAAGGTGACCAGGGAAAAAAGACAGACCTCCAACCTCTATTTGGATACATCCCAGATGGACAAGGCTCCATTTCCAGACCTGAAGATGAAGGATGGTACTACCTACCCAGGAGCAGTCCTGTCATATCCCGCTGTGAAGAGACCAAAATGAAGAAATCGCCTTCAGTAGCTTCAAATCATAGAGATTTACATGAACACTTTGATGAAAACTTTCGAAAGGGGGAGGACTTTTTTTGGGTTGGACTTTCCTCTGTTTCAAAAATGCTCCAGAACATTTTCCCAGAAGAACAAACGATTCCTACTTCTTCAGCTCGGAGGACTTCTCAGGTTTTGCTTTTGGATACACACAGCACTCCAGCAGCTACCAGGGATGAAAAATGTTCTGACAAGCAAAGAAACCTCTCACATGGAACTTCAGAGTCCCAGTCTTCTTCATGTGAGGAAAATGATCTTCTAAACACCGGAGCCTCACAACTGGAAAAAGGAACCGGCTTGAACAAATGTCTGATCTCAGGTGAGCAAGGTTTACTAACACACACACACACACACACACAAACCTGAAGAATCAGGATTCAGTACCCATTGCAAGACCTTTTAAATTTTACATTGATTTGATAATTTTTTTAATGGGAGTGTGTCATTTGTGTGAAACAATTCGTTCTATAAGAAGTTCTATAAGTTCTATAATAAAATTCATTTTAAATATAGCAATATAGCAAGTATTCATATTGCCAGTAATTAGTTTTATAATATTCTCTGATCTTCAGGATAAGCAATGACATCACATTGTACAGTAAATATGAATGATGAATCATACTGTACACACCAAAGCAGAGGATGTTACACAATCAGACAGTTAAACATGGAATATCCACAATTAGTAAAACATAGTGAAGTGTCAAAAACAAGAACACAGGAACCTAGATACTGCTGTTGGAGCTGTGATGCAAAGTAGGGAGTATGAAGTTGTAATTTTTAAAGAAATTATAAGGATAAAATTAAAAAGCCTGATAAAACACTTAGGCAGGGAGTTAGTCCGTCTGTGTCCAGTAAGACTTCATAGGAGCATCAGAGAAAGTACAATTTAATTACAATAATTAAGGAATAGCAGCAACCTGAGCATGAATGTGGTTGAACTGGATTAATATGACAGATTAATGTATTTATTCCCTAAATAGGTTCCTGTTATATTGTAAATACTGTATAATAAGAATAAGTAGTGAGTGAATATAAGTAAGTAAATGACAAGTAAGCACACGTCCATACTTTTATACACACTGTGTGATTTGATGTTGAAGGTGCTGAGCACGAAGAGCAAATCTCGGAAGCTTTCTACAGGAACAGTGTGGACCTCGACCAGGTAATGTGTGTGTGTGAAGAGAACTGTTTCTGCTTTGTGTAGATTTGTGCCAATTAATAAGTGTGTGTGTGTGTGTGTGTGTGTGTGTGTGTGTGTGTAGGAGAATGCTCATTTTGTAGTGGTGGATATGGTGCTGGAGGTTCTAGAGGCGGCGAAGTGGGCTGTGTCCCAAAAACATTCAGGCTCCTTTTCCTCAACTGACAGTGGCTACGAAGGTGAAGATCAGATCACTCTGATCTCGATTATCCTACTTTTAGCAAAGTGATGTAGAAAACATAGGGGTATGATGTTGCCTGTTTTGATATGTTTGAAATTGCAAACTAAAATTTAATATAATTTGCACTGGAATTTCAAAAAAATTCAGAAATTGCAATTTGTAGTAAAAAATTATTAACTTATTATTAGCTCAGCAATAATTTTAAACTCAAGCTCAATTTTTTTTGGTTCCAGTTGTTCTTTTCAGTTTCACCTGCTGGTCATTCCTTCCTCCCTGGTTAAAGCTTTCTGTTTTGCTCTGCTCTTTAGATAGTCATGCATCTTTCTCCGCTGCTTTTTCTAGTCATTAAACTTCAACCTAAACATTCATAATAAACTCATGAATGTCAATGTAAAAGCTTTACATTAGCCACTATAAATTCATAAACCGCGCTGTAAACTTTACTGTAAATTCATAAACGTCACAATAAACTTCACTATAAACTCACAACATTATTGTCAGGTCATAAACTTTACTGTAAAAATATGAATCTTAATGTAAATTTCACTGCAAACTCATAAGCTTGCTGTAACTGTAAACTACTCCACTTCAAATCTTTCATCACTATAAACTTGTAAACTTCATTGTAAACTCATAACCTCAATGTAAACTTGAACTTACCATTAACAACTTTATGAACTTTACTGTAAACTCATAAGCTTCACTGTAAACTTCACTATAAACTCAGCAATATTACTGTGAGGTCATAAACTTTACTGTAAAAATATGAATCTTAATGTAAATTTCACTGCAAACTCATAAGCTTGCTGTAACTGTAAACTACCCCAATTCAAATTTATCGTCTCTATAAACTTGTAAATTTCATTGTAAACTCATAACCTCAATGTAAACTTGACCCTACTATTAATAACTTTATGAACTTTACTGTAAACTCATAAGCTTCACTGTAAACTTCACTGTAAACTCAGAAATATTACTGTGAGGTCATAAACTTTACTGTAAAAATATGAATCTTAATGTCAATTTCACTGCAAACTCATAAGCTTGCTGTAACTGTAAACTACTCCACTTCAAATCTTTCATCACTATCAACTTGTAAACTTCATTGTAAACTCATAACCTCAATGTAAACTTGAACCTACTATTAACAACTTTATGAACTTTACTGTAAACTCATAAGCTTCACTGTAAACTTCACTATAAACTCAGCAACATTACTGTGAGGTCATAAACTTAACTGTAAAAATATGAATATTAATGTAAATTTCACAGTAAATGTCATTGTATACTCAAACGTCACAATGAAGTCACAAACATCAATGTGAACACATTTAACCCGTAAACGTCCCATAGGCCTTGATACTAAATTCACAGTAAACATCCCTGCTTTATTATTAGCCTTATTAACTTTCATAAACCATAAATCTATAAACTGTAATCTCATAAACTTTAATGTACATTTCACTCTAAACTCATAACCAAACCTGTGAATTCTTTTTGTTGTAAACTTTTCAAACTCAGACCTCACTACTAACTCAATTATCCACTTGTAAACTTTAC